TGAAAGAAACATGATATATCAGCTAAAAACAATGGGCTGAAAATCCAAACTGATGTGAGGCAGACCAGTTGGCTATTTACAAGCATGACCGAGGAGATGAACTAGGGTAAATAAATTGTTATGAAAGTAAAATAAACACGTTTTAGTGGAGATCTTCGTGCTATTGGCCTTAGCAATGTCTCTACCAGTTTACAATACAAGTCAGTTTGAAACGGGGGTAGCCTGCAGAACAGGCGGATTAGCGGTACACAATGAGAGCGAAACACTCTATACGAGCGCGGAGCGCGATGTTCAGCAGGCTAAATGGGGAGGGTCAGTCCTACCTTAGTTTTGTCAATAAGCTCTCCAAGATAGGCTGAGAGAGATCTTCTTTCTCCTCAGACGCAATACAAGCCGATAATGGAGAGAAGGCTCCTCGCTGTGAACTTTTTAAGTGGAGACCGGCAAAGTTCGCCCCAAGGCTGGTTTTCACTAAGACACAAGTAAATAAGCACAGACGCGGTGGAGCCGTCTTTTGTTCGTAGATTTTCCCAACAAAAGGCGCTGATTATCAACATCATAGTGCGCCTGTGTATGTCGGCTCATTGGATGTTCCGCTTCAGTGTATCCGACCAGCAGTACTTGACATAGCAAATCTTTCTAGAGCAGACAGCCAGAGTTAAATTTTCCTTGCGCGATTAAAGAACACTCCGAAAATGATTAGGGTTTTTCGAAGTAAAAACGTTATTTCGTGTCTGTCACACTCAGTACTTCAGTTTGCAAGAAGTTGGGTGGAGTCATGCATCGTAGTTTCTCAATACAATGGAAGCAGTCAATAGGGAAAAGAATCCAGAAAATGCTTTGTTTGAAGTTCAACAAAACTTGAAACAATTACGCTAACTAGATAAGCTTTGTATTATTTGACCAAGCAAATGCAAATCTCCTGGAGTGGCCCGATCAAGCTCTAAATCAACCAGTAAATCATTTACACTGAAGCAGTTCTCGACAAGAAGACGAGTTTCTTTTTACAAAGACAGTGTGGGGACTATTTTGACTGAGAAGGCAATTCAACCATATCAATTCAACCTTTCTAAATCAAGATTCTCTCACGTCTTAATTTTCTCATAGAAACTTTAATTCTGTCAATTATTAGCTTTTGATCTAACTGAATTGCATACTTCTATCAGAATCAACTTTTGAGTCATTCAGTGCAATATTAATTCAACCTTTCTACACCAAGATTCTCTCATAAACTTTAATTATGTCAATCATTAGCTTTTGATCTAACTGAATTGCATACTTCTATCACAATCAACTCTTGAGTTATTCAGTGCAATATTGCAAATTTTACGCGAACAAAGAAACCGTACAGCCATTTTATCTGATTTTACACAAAAATCAGAACACATGGACGTACCAACCCGTAGGTGTTGTATTTTGATCTCCAAACTAAATGTAAACAATGATCTTGAATATCATAGATATGCAAGTAATTTGGTAATAATAACGTTCAAAATCTTTCCTCGTACACTACATCGGGGATTTTTGCAAATGTGGCAAATGTCTTTGAATGTTTGTGAATGAAAGATGGCGTGTAGGCTTGGGCACTAGTCTAAGTGACGTCATGTGTTCGTTTGGCGCGGAATTTGTAAAACTTATTATTAGAGTTTTTCGTTTTTGGGAAGAACTATATCACTAGAAAATATGTCACAATATTCTCCAGCTGGACCCATCCGGCTTGCAAAACCTTCAAGTGTTATAAAGTTGAAGATTAAGAAGAAGAAGAAGAAGTCCACGCAAAACCCAGCGATTAGGAGTTCAAATGCTCTGAAACCGATCAACGGCTCTGTTCAAGATGGCCGCACTCAGTCATTGAAGCGAGCGAATCCTTTCAGGTGTTCCCCAAGAAAAAAGCCAAATCTCACTTCTGATGCGAAAACATCGGAGTGCAGGCTCTTTAATGTCCTCGACGGTTTGGACGAGAATCTCGAAAATATCTCAGGAAACACGCATCAATCAGCGAAGATTGTACAGGAAAATACATGCGAAAAAATATTCGATACGGGCAACGCTATTGCAGAACAAACCGAAGAAGAAACCCCGACAGAGGAGGTTGAAGGTTCAGAAAGCTTTCCTTTAGATTGGAGTTTAAAGTCTAAAGTACGATTCACTTCTTCCAAGTCGTTTAATTGGTGTGGAACGCTTAAAACACGGGATGAGGGTCAAGGCTTGTTGAACTTCGTTCGCTGCCAAACAAAGGAATGCGATTCGGCGGATGAATCACTTGAAAATTCAATCAACGGTTATCCTTCGTCATTTTGTTCTTTCACTAAAGTATGGGCGCATCCTTCTCTACCTTGGCTCGAACTTTTCCCACGAAAATCCGCTGATGGAAAAAGTGGTTCGAAAAGAGACCTTCAAATTACGAATGAAATCGCTTCTTCCCTTCACAGCGACTGGGTGTCCAGTTTTCGCTCTGTTTTCAACCTGGTGCGAGTTGGTTTCTGTCCGTATTTTTATCTGGTTGGAATTCAAAACACTATGCTCTTTCAGGCTGCAGAAATAAACAGAGATGGAGCTCTACAAGTGCTTATTACACCAACGACTAAAGGTTTTCGCGATGCACTTCGAAACGAAGGTAAATAGAAGTCAGCAGAGTTGTGCGACTCGCAGAGCGTGTCCATTGAGATGGGGACGGAGCAGGTGGGGGATGGGTACTGGGGTATATTAGAGTCAGGGAGCTGCAAATGATACCAAAGTGTTAGGCCTAAACAATGTCCCATTAGCAGTGTGTTTGTCTGTAAATTATAGGCTGAACCCTGCGATGAGAAAAATCAGACCTCAAGAAAATACAAAATAATAGCTTAAGCCATTTGGTCATGGCATATCTTGTCCCCTTTATAGAATCAGCTTATTAGAATTTGTTTGGATTAAAATCCTTCCTGGACTTGTTAAACTACAACTTGTCTAGTTTTAACCACACAATTGCTTTCATGTCTCACTTTGGCACATGGCATTACTGTACAGGTGTCATCTTCACTATGCCACAGTTGGAAGACAGAGGAAAGAAAGAGACCGGATCTGAATCGCAAGATGATGACTCAGATGAAGAGGAGGAAAGGGAGCCTGGGGATGGCTCTGATGACGAGCACAGTGACAAGCGAGAGTGGCTAGAAAGCATGGGCCTCGATAAAGAACAGTTTCCCTTACTTAACCCAAAGACTGTTACACCGCATCAAAGAAACAACCTCAGAACCATTGATCAACAACCAACCTCAACTGTGCTGGTGAAAGGAGCTGATACACATGCTCTATTTAACTTCCTACTCAACTGCAAGAGTTTAACAGCTAATACAGGACCACAAGCGCAAGTGCCACCAACACTTCTAGCTCCTGTCGCATTTGACGGTGCTACCTTAAAAAGTCTGAGGGTCAACCAAGGCATTCTGAAACACCAACAAGCCAAGGGAATGAAGCAGGTAAATGGTTGTGATCAATTTCCAATTTCTCGTTTCCCTTCCATGAGAAAAAAGTGGGTTGGGAGAATGAAATTTCTGAATGGTACAATTGGACAGTAAAAGAGCTAAAGTGATTTGTACGGTTTGCTTTTAGTTATACAGTCTGGAGATTTCTGGATCCTTACTGCCTGGGTGTATGTATGAACTGTGTCACCTATTGAAGGCCTCTCAAAATGGGGACTTTAAGGCCACCTTCTCTGCACACCAGCCATCAGTGGCCTTCAATGTTGCAACCCTTGAGACAGAGGACAAAATTTGTACCCCTAGTGGAAGTAACTTAGAGCACAGCATCACATGTGGGCAGTGGAAGCACTATCAGGAAGCAGAACAGTTGAAAGGAACATTTTTAAAAGAACTTAATTGCAAAGACAACCTTTTTACATGGACAACTTGATTATGAACAGGGTGCTAAGAGAAAACCTTCCCAAGCATTTATGTAAATTGCACAAGTGTAAATATTTTTAAGTTATTATAAAAGTTACAGTCAAACTGCATCAAGTTTTCCTCCCATAAACAAAGTAATGAAATTCAATATTGGAAATTTGACTTAGAATGAAATCAACTTTTCAGTACTGTATTTCATTTCTTGTTTCTGGAAGGTACCCAGGATTTTAATATTTGAACCTTGCATTTCAGATAAAGACAATATTTCTTATGTAATCCGTCTTATCAAAAAATTTGTAAAAACAATAAAATCAGTGTACATTATTTATCATTGCATTTTTAGCAGGGATCTCTAGGTTTACTTTGAGGAAGGGTGACCTTCCTAGAATATGTTGCCTTGCCCTCTTTAGAAACTTTCAATTAGGTCATGTACTTCGTACATACTCCCCAATTTTCTGCAATTTATTTTATGCATTGCAAGGCTCAAGAAAGTTTGTGGGAGGGGGGCGGGGGGTCTAAGTTCTAAGCTCTAAGTGAGGAAATTACCTAGGACCCCATCTTTTCATTTGATAACAAACTAGGAACCAACTTTGTCAAGAACTCATTTAATAATGTTGTATGTACAGACAATGATATGAATTCATGCACAGATATAAAAACCTTGTTGGATGTTCGGGTGAACAGGGAAGGTTTTGTTTTTTGAAAATGTTGAACCCATACTGTTTTTTTCCAATCCAGTTAGATTTGATGTTTCATAATAAATAATTATTTACACCTATAGGTCTTTTAAAGCAGTTGATGCACCAAAAGTCTTTCATGAGTTTAAAAACTGATGGGAAAGGAAGAAATGACAGATATTGACATCTTCACAGCGTCTCTACACTCCCATCAGTCATATCTAAATGAAAAACAAAACAAACACTGATAAATTCCTTGTTTTTGAAGACACTCAATATTAAAATTAGTGACAGATGTCTTTTTATTTAAGAGTCAATTATATTATATATTTGGTCCAATTCTCTGGATCAAATTTATTGTGGGAAAATCAATCACCATTAAGGAGTGATTAGTTAGTAAATTAGTCCTGGTCACAGCCATTTTTCATGTGCAGCCTTTTCAGTTGAGATAAGACTGGATATGAGAGTGCATCAAGGCTTGCATGGAGTCACAAAGGGCGAAGGCATCCATTCTCCCCTCAATCAAAAATCAGATACACAAAAACTGGATATGAGAGTCCACTTGAATTCACTGCAGTGCTTTATATTCAAGAGAGAGACTTCACATATTAATGATTATAGCCTTAACTGTAGAATTATTCTTGAGAGGACTGTTTATGAGGATGCCAATTTTTTGTTGTAGAGTGAAAAATTACATTTTCAAGAAACATAATTGTCATGTGGGTTAAGCTCATCAAGAATAAAAACGCCTGGATGAAAACTAACCAAATGTTCATTGTTGCTTTTGACCACATTTCTGAACACTTCGAATTTGTCAAAAACACCCTGCTATGTGCTATATTTTCAAACCTTTTCTCTGCATTTGGAAATGTGGTCAAACATGCTCTTTTGTGTTTGATATATTACATAAGAAATGATTTCATTCATACTTGAACAGGGTTGAATGTTGATCCTTGCGTGGTTCGTGGGGTGGTTTTATTGTAGCCATAATCCATCTTGCATAATCAGTATTATGGATCCCTGCTTCCCTCAGGGCATTCTCAACTCTCAGTCTTTTGTCGCCTGCCACCTAAAATAACGGAAGAACACTGCAGTGTAAACTCATCACAATCAAATGAGGCATTCACTTGTGAACACAACTCAGTACATGTAGTGGAGCAGTTCTTCACTTCTTCCGTGGATCATCAAGCAATATTAATGGCAAGAGAAAGCAGATCTGAATTACTTCCAGTTGCTAAGTGCCGTTGTGGGGCACTTTCAGTTTTCATAACAGGAGGTGTCTTTCTTTGGGGGGGGGGACTACGGGAGGTACTCAGGGGGGTTAGCCCTACCCCCTTGGAGCACATCTGGATCCCCCATTAGTAGCGGGGGGTTGGGGGGAAGATAGGTGGAGTGAAATGAGCTACAGCCAAGTAAAGCCCTGGTATACATCCAAACGTTTCCTAGATTAGTTTTACATTTTATAATTTATGACATTGAATGTGACACATTGTCTAGACCAAGGAATTATTCAGTTGGAAGAAGTACAGTGTCCCTTGGTGAGGAAGTTCAAAAAAAGAGAAATGTGGCATAGGCGTATCTAACCTGCTTTTCATCGTAGCCATGGACAGCATAGAGAGGATGCTGAAGGTCAAGTTCTTCCTCGTACATACTGGCCACACGAGCTTGGGATGCCTGTGGAACATAACCATAACCATGATGAATGGAATGGATCTCATAGTGTGGAAAGGTTGAGTTTAGATTCATCTCAACAGATAATGCCAAAATATGTGTCATTAACAGACAAATGAGTCTCAGATCTTATTTTAAAACTGCACAAATGATAGTTTCACCTACCTCAGTTGGTTTAAACACCCTGTGGGGATCATCCTCTACATGAACTTGAACCTACATTGAAAACCAGAACAGAGGTGTACTTGAGCAGAGTTTCCAACTACTGTAAAATTTCAGTTATTTCCACACCCTCTGTCCCCCAAATTTCTGATAACAAGCCCCCCAAATGCAAACACAGAACCTACTTTGTGTTTTATCTCATTATGTGCAGCATTCTTGTGTGTTCCTAAACTGTTTTACATGCATCATCTCTTCTATAAAGTTTGGCAGGGTTTACATACATGTAACATCAACCCAAACATTTTTGAAACACAATGAAAATTCTTTCCAATAATAAACCTAAGTGATATTATGCCCTTCCCAAAAAATGCCATGGATGCAGAAAAGTCTTAGTTGTTAACATGAAAATTCTTTCTAATAATGAGCTCAAGTGATAAAAGTTAGGCCCTCCAAAAAATATACCCATACAGAAAAGCCTTAGTTTTGAACATCACAATTCGATCCAATATTGAGCCCAAGTGATATTAAAGGACCCTAGTCAGCTAAACCTTTGTTTTTGTTTACTTGATAGAGTTTGAATATAATTGTATTTTATATGGAGCATGTCAAAAAAAAGGAAATCACTGTGAACCAACTAAAGATAATTAAACATACTTTCAGGAACACACCTTACTGTAAAGCAATAAGATTTCCCTTCACCTTGCAATATCAATAATTCAATGGCATCGAAAGTGGTGGAAGCTGACAGGTCCTTTAAGCCCTCCCAAAAATATACCCGGCAAAAAGTTAAAGCCTTTAGTAATTAACATGGTTTATCATTGGAATTTTACATTATACAGATTGACCGGTGTAAGGGCCTGTGGTGATACTCTAAAATACCATAACAATGACACCACATGCCTGTTCTCTAAGTTTGTCCAGTCGTTTCTGTTTTTCCTTTTCTTGTTCCAGAGCTAGTTCTTTTGCTTGCTGCTTTGCTTCTTGCTGTAACTGCAACTGCTCCTTGCGGTATTGCACCCTGCAAAAAATAGGGACAATTGAAAGATTTCATGCAAAAGGGCGTATATTGCCCCAAAAGCGATTGAATAAAAATAGCTGTGGACAAAAGCGACATGCTGTTACTGAGCTATAACTAGCATAATCTAGCTGTGATTCAGGTCTTAAAGGCTGCTGGACTTAAGTAATTTCTAGCTGTAAAGTACCTTTCTCGATCTAACACAGCTTGTTCTGCCATTTTTTCTTGTAATTCTGCCAGCCTTCTTCTCTGTTCCTGTGCAGAAATTTCTCTTTCCTTCTCCTTCTGCTCCCTGAAATCCTGGATCTTAAAATGAGAGGAAAAAATACAGAATTTTTAATAATTTATAAATAAATTACGTGAAATTTTTCGATGGTAGGGGTGCAAATTTATTTGTACAAAACTTGAAGCGCAAAATAAAGTGAAGTTGAAGTTGAAGTTGTACAAATTGCCTCTATTTCAAGAGCCTGTTGTTAGGTCAGAATTGAAACAATTCACCAATCTTATCAATTGATACTACTTACTAACCCTGTTAAATATCTTACTTGTTTGTGTTGCATATCTCTACGTTTCTTCTCTTTTTCCTCGGCAGCTCGTAGTTGTTCTTCTTCCTCTTCCTGTTGTTGTGCAGCAATAGCAGCTTGAAGCCTTAGTGCCTCAAGTTTCTGCTCACGGAATGCAAGTACCTCAAGAGAAAAAAAAATTACTTATACATTGATTTTCAACACCACAAGTTTTTATGTCACTCTGTCAATTTATACATTTTTCTGAACAGTTAAACATTTCAACTTTTGATTAATTGGCTTGTTCCTTGTTTTTTTATGTTTCCTTTTTTGAATGAGATTTTTCCCTGCTAGGTTTTAATTAAAAATCAACATTTACTTATAGTAAGTCTTAAAACAATGAACTCAGATAAACCTTCTCATAGAGTTCTTGGCATATATGTTCCTGTTTCTTTCTTGTTTTAGCTTTCTCTGCAGCCTCTTCATAAGCTGCCCATGCATCAACGAATGTTGCTTTCACTTTCATCAGCAGATCTTCCCTGTCATGGGCCCAGGCACGAAGTGTGCTGTGAAATTGCTCTTGGTAAAATTTGTGTGCAAGAAACCACTCTTCATGTTCAACCTAAAACATTTCATAATTTATCAGTGAGAGTAGGCTAGATCAGGTCTTTTTTTGCCAGATTTGGTGTGGAGGCATGGTGGTCTTATGCTTTAGCATTCTGGAGCCTGGATCTGGAGCCTGGGGAGTGTTCCAAGTTTAAGCTCTGGCCTGGGTCATTGCATTGTGTTCTAGGGCAAGACATGTTACTCTTGCAGTGCCTCTCTCGATCTACCCAGATGTATAAATGGGTACAGCAAATTTAATGCTGGGAGGTAACGCTGCGATGGACTAGTATCCTATTCAGGGGGGAGCTTCATGCTACAGAAACCAGGATAGACTCTGGCTGTATGAGCCACTGGCCTGACATGACCTCACCTTTACTAGATTTGGTGGCTTATCAGACTAGCCTTGAGAGCAGTGGAACAGTCACTATTCCCTGTGCCTGAGATGCTACTCCATTGCAATTTTTTTCCTTGTCTCTCCCTTGTAAAAACATAAGTCACATTTCAGAATTTTGTCAAAACATTGATTTCATCATAATTCCTTACCAGCTGTGAACGAGTTTTATGTGAGAGTTCTCTTAACATTCTGTCGATATAAAGCATCCTTCTGTTTGGTAGCTCAGGTGGATACTGTTCCATTAGATGAACAAAATGGAGATGATCATGTTTTGACCATCCTCCTGTAGTGCCTCTAAAATATAGTAAAATAACAACATTATTGTTTGTTAATAAATAGTGAAGGTTAGGCCTAGTACAAACATTGTGCTAAGTACTGCTGTACTGAACTCAAATGAATTTGGCCCACGCAGTGGCATGACAAAAGAACACCAGTGGTTTCAAATGTTGAATTTAATTCGGTCACGCCGAAGATTAGAAGAAGTTTGCTTTGCTGAAGACCATTTAAATGATAGAAAGCAATGGCAGCTGATGCAGCAGGCTCTGAGTTCAGTTTGGCACCGCAAGAGCATGCTGTTTGAAGCCAAGTTGTTCTACTACCTTATGGCACGGCAAGACATGCCATGCTAAATGGTTGTGCCAAACTTAATTCAGTAAGCCAAACTAAGTGGTTTCAAATGTCATGCTAATGCCGTGCTCGAGTCAAATTTAATTCTTGAATTTAGTTTGGCATGGCAGTAGCACAACATTCAGAATAGGCCTTAGATACAGGGATTTCTTGCCCAAAACTACTCATATTTATAAGTAATGTTTGTACTAACTGTTTTGTATGTCGATATTTGATATTCAGGTATTCTAACTGAGCTTCATATTTTTTGTCCAGCAGAAGAAACTCTTCCAGTACAGTCATCTTTAAATGTTCGTCAGGACACTCCAAGGTATATGCTTCATCAGGAATTCCTGTGTCTGTAACAATGTCTGATATCATTCCTGATCCAACCATTTCATGTAACGCCATACCATCAAGTTCTTCTTCAAGCTGGTTTTGTTCCATTTGCAGTTTTTCCATCACTCCTTGTTGTTGCATCTTGACTGATTCCACAACCTGTAGAACCTCTGAGTGTTCTTTCTCAGCAACACCTGAATGTAAAGGAAAGACCAGAAGCAGCAGAAGTTGCTGACTAGATCCCATAAGAATTAATAAGTCATTATTACGCCTATGCAAACTCTGAAGTTTACAATATGTAGATCTAGAAAATATCCATACCTCCCCCATGGAAGGGACTTTTTAATCAGACCACATCCCACCCCTCTGGAAATTCCAATTAAGTTTCATACATTTTTGAAAAATTGTTTCGTCTTACAGAATCCCCCACCCCCCAGGAAATTCCAATCCCCTCTGTGAGGGGAGCATCTTATGGACATTTTCTGGAACTGCACAATGCACTGAAGCTAATGATTCCAGTTTTGGCTGCTGTCAATCATATCTATGATGCAATCAACCAAGCCCGAAAAATTGTACAAATAAAGTGGATCAAAACTGACCAATTGCAACCCACAGACATGACCTTTTCGACCCACGAAAGTAAATTTCTGTTATCTAAGAGGCCTGCTAAGATGATTGACAGTAACGAAACATAAATGCATTGATTAAACAGTGTTATTGAAAGGCACAGCAATATTACTGCATCAACTTGTCAACTGACCCATCAAAATTCTGTCCCTGTTTTCACCAAGCCAAAACTGCAAGTCTTCTCTTAAATCCCACAGGGGCTGTATAGTGCTCTTCTTAAACTCATTGGTATCCTCACTAAGAATTTCCTCATAAATTTCTAGATCTTGGAAAAATTCCTTTATGGAGCTGTAATCTAAAGGACTACCAGGCCGTAAGGCATCAATATCACTTTGCAGTTTCCGCTGTAAGCTATGAAGTCTTATTTTCTCCTTTGACCAACAAGCCTTATGCTGCTGAAGGAGTTGCTGTTCCTTTTTCTCTTTGCTGGCTTTTGTTATCTTTTCAACCTTCTGGAAGGTCTTGTTACCAGCTGCCTTTCTGAGTTGAGCGATGGCTTGAAGTTTGTCGTAATTAGCCGGCCTATATCGGTTACTGCCATGTCCTTCTATAAAACGATTTACCAGTGAACTATCTGCAAATGTAAATGAAAAATTGTTTTACGTATTGTTGCTATCGTATTAGATTTTCATTGATTATTACTGCATGTACTTAGAAAAAAACTAAGTACTGTAGCAAGTAGTTAAAATTCAAATAAATATTTTTGAGACTAAGATTAACACATTATTTATGCATAAAATCATATTGTACTGTAAGTAAGTAAGTATTGTGCTGTAATATTATTATTTCCTCTTTTTATTTGTTTAGTTTTTCCCATGTATACTGTGTTTGTAAATGTAAATCAGTTAAAAAATTAAAAAAAAAAAGTTTAATAATAATCTTTCAGATGTTACCTACATCAGTATAAAAGACTTATATGTTTGGTTTGCAGGAATAAATTGCTTTTTCACTGTCAGACTGTTTTCAGAAGAACTCCAGTTTCCTGATGAGAGTAGCATCACTGGTATGCGGATATAAACTCATTTTTTATTTCTATCAAGTGGGAATTGGTTGTACTGGAAATTTTTTCTTCTTTCTCCACGCCAACAGTGAAACTGAGTTAAAAGTTAAGGGCCTAATTTTTTTATCCAAATAGGTTTTTTCGTTCCTGATTTAATCCATACCTGCGGCACCGATGGCACTTCTGTGGAAGTTTACGAACTTCCTAAGATCCCTTCCACTCATTCAAGTAAAAGTTGGTTAACTACATCATTACATTCCAGAAAATCGCCCTTTGACAACTGCCTTCACGACATCAACAACTCTTCACCCGGGCGCCATTTTGAAAAGTACGACAGCCTCGTTGTCATACATACACCACGAAAAGGCTGCCTCACTTCCATGTTAACCAAGATGGCGTCGAGTAGGCCTTCGAGCAGAAGTAAAAAGGCGAAGCGTGCAGCTAGCCCTGCCGCTGCGCCTGCTGCTCCAAGCAAGCGCAGAAGACCAATAACAGTAAGTTAATTCATTAATGAAGCGTTATAGTTCAATTTATTACCAGATTTTTTTTTCCTTTTAGCCCTGTGTGGCCGATGATTTGGACTCCACGTCAAGCAGTCCGTCGTCTTACAGTGTTGTCAGCGAGGCGAGTGTTCAACCCAATGGACAGTTTGTCTTCAAAGATACTAATTTCGAGGTAAGTCAGCTTATATGTTATCTTCAAAAACTGTAGCTGAAAAGGGAAGAGAAGATAATAAACTTGAAATATAAAAGAAGGAGGAAATATAATAAGCTTAAAAATTATTTTAAGCTTATTAGGTTTCAAATTAAGGTTACAGTATACCTTCGGGTCGGCAATTTTCTTCAAATTTGGATTTTTGGGTCAAAATAGTGGTCGAAGAATAATCTCTAAT